CACGACTGTGTTCTTGTAAAGAGATGAAGGCCTCCATCCTTTGGGGAAAAAGTGACCCTCCCATGTGAGCTAGGGGGCGTGGACTTGAAGCTGAGGGTTCTTAGTTGGGGGGGGGGGCGGGGAAATGGAGCTATTTACCAAGAGCTATTTGGTTCTGGACCTATTTGCCAATTCAGCTATTCTTGGAGATGCCCAAGGACAGACCCTGACCAATGTCACGCCCACAAGAGGCCGCCAGTCAGTCAGGAGAGGGCCCTGCTCCTGCCCCCAAAACTCTTCTCATCCTGGTCCCACTTCATTCATCTCTCGGGGGGCCTAATTACAGACCAGTAGTTCCTCTCCCACCCAGAGCTCTACGTGAACAGAATGTTTTATTTTTTTTAAATTTTTTTAAAGCATTTTTAAATTATTTATTTATTTATTATTTTGCTTTTTGGGTCACACCCGGCAATGCACAGGGGTTTCTCCTGGCTCTGCACTCAGGAATCACTCCTGGTGTTGTTCAGGGGACCATATGGGATACTGGGAATCGAACCCCGGTTGGCCGCGTGCAAGGCAAATGCCCTACCTGCTGTGCTATTGCTCCAGCCCCTGAACAGAATGTTTTAAAATAAAAGCCGTCATGTATCGTGTAAGGACAGTGCGCGCATCTCCCAGCTCTGTACAGCGGCCAAGTGACAGTGAGGTGGTGAGGCCTCTGGTAGCCATGGGGTGAGAACCAACGGACCCACCACCTTCAAGGGAGGAGCGAAAGGTGTGCCCCAAAGTTGCACTGCCGGTGTCTTCCAGCAGGGGGAAGCCTGGAGCAGAATAGTTCTGCACCGTAGCACTGTCCTCCCGTTGTTCATCATTTGCTCAAGCTGGCCCAGTAACGTCTCCATTGTGAGACTTGTTGTTACTGTGTTTGGCATATTGAATGCATCACGGGGAGCTTGCCAGGCTTTGCTGTGCGGGCGGGATACTCTCGGTAGCTAGCCGGGCTCTCCGAGAGGGGCGAAGGAATCGAACCCAGCTCGGCCAGGCTGGCTGTGCGCAAGGTAAATGCCCTACCGCTGTGCTATCGCTCCAGCTGGGAGCGGAATAGAACCCGAATATTCCTCTAGAAGGCCCATAAAGGGGAAGTGGGGGGACCCAAGCACAAGTGTGTTTCTCTTTTTGTCCCTGACGACTGCGGATAACAAAAGTCGAGGTTAGATGGGCTGGAGCAATAGTACAGCGGGGAGGGCATTTGCCTTGCACGCTGCCGACCCGGGTTCAATCCCCGGCATCCCATAGGGTCCCCTGAGCACTGCCAGGAGTGATTCCTGAGTGCAGAGCCAGGAGTAACCCTTGCGCATCCCCGGGTGTGGCCCCCAAACAAAAAACAGAAACAATAAAACCAGGCTGGCGAGAAGGAGAGATGACCCTTGCCTTGCCCGCGACCCGCGACCCACGGGGCTTTGATCCCTGGGACCCTGTAAGGTTCCACAAGCTCAGCCAGGAGACGTCCCGGAGCACAGAGCTATAGAAGTGAATCCCGAAGCATGACTGGGGGTAGCCCCAGAACCAACACGCACATGCGCACACACACATCGCACCCCACAGAAGACAAACTCGTGTCCTAGCTCCGCAGCCTGCGAACACACTTTGCGTGCAACAGGTTAGCAAAGCTGAGGCCAGATGACAGAGAGCAGGAGTGTGGGTTTGTGGGGTCAGCTGCTGGGGCAGCCGGGATCCGGGGCTGGGGAGTGTGGTCTGGGGTCCAGCCTGCCGCCCCCACGTTGGAGAGCTGCCCGGGGTTTGCAGGTGGCAGCCGGAAGGGGGCCCGGATCCATCTGAGAGCCCATTGGGTCACACATGGAGGGGAGGGGAGGGGGCCTGTTAGAGGGTCATCACCTGCGGCAGGGCTGTGGGGAGGAGACCCCGGCGGCCATGCAGAGCCTCCCAGTGTGGGGGCATTTCAATGGTGAGTGAAGTTAGCGTCCAGAATTCACCTGTGCTGGGAGCCGCGTCCAGACCCCAATGCCTACCGCCCAGTTCTGGCCCTGAGCGCCTCCCTGTACAGGGGGGCACAGCCTCACCGCCAGCCCACCAAGTGTGCACTGGCATTTCTGGGGTACAGGCCCGATGGGCGGCCAGCAGCCGTGCTGGTCTCCTTCTGCCCCTGCATTGGGGAGGGGTGCGGGGAGCCCCAGGCACTGGGTTTTGGCTGGCTTTTCTCCTCTCTGGGCTCACCGGCCAGATGTCTGATCCATTTTTTTTTTTTTTTTTTTTTTTTTTGCTTTTTGGGCCACACCCGGGGATGCACAGAAGTCACTCCAAGCTCTGCACTCGGGAATTACTCCTGGAGGTGCTCAGGGGACCATATGGGATGCTGGGAATCGAACTCAGGTTGATGGCGTGCAAGGCAAATGCCCTACCCGCTGTGCTATCACTCCAGCCCCCCCCCCCCCATCTGAATTTTGCTTGAAAACTCACAGAAGACAAATTTAGCTAGCCTGGCAGCTGACCCAGGTTTGATCCCCAGCACCCCTGAGGGTCTCCCCGGAAGAGACCCCCCTGCAGGTGGCAAAGACTTGCACATGGGAAGTGTGCAAGTTTCAGGGGCTTCACCTGGAGATGCGGGGCAGCTCGCGGGGCGGGAGTGGAACTCCGCCAACGGGGACAGACGCCCTGGCCTCCGACTTGGAGATTCTAAGTAAGTCTCCAAATCTCAGCTGCCCCCCACCTCCCACCAGCTGTCCTGTCCTGTGACCCCTGCTGTCTGGACACCCCTGTCTTGGCTGGGGCTCGGAGACCTGGAAGGCTCGGCTCCCGCACTCTTCCTGGCTGTCGGTCAGGGACCCTGCAGGTCACCAAGACTGGCCGGGGCCAGGATGGACCTGGCACCTCTTGTGCCCACCCCCACATGCTCAGGCCAGGGCCCTCTGCACACCAGCCTAGATCCCGAGCCACCAGGCGTCCCCACACATGTCCCGGCTGTGTCAGAGCTGGGGGGAGCCGGCCAGAGCCTCACGGTCCCCAAGAACTAGCAGAAGCGACCCCTGAGCACAAAGCCAGGAGGAAGCCCTTGAGCACTGCTGGGTGTGCCCCTACCCCAAGGAGCTGAACGGGGAGCCGCGTCCATCCCCACTGCCGCCCGGTTCTGGCCCAGGAATGGGGGCAGGGGGCCACCCACTCCCTCCTCTGTGCCCAGCCGGGAGGCCCCGTGACCCTGCCCAGCACTTTGAAGAGGCAAGAGACACGTGTGTGTATGGTGTGTGAGTGTATGATGAGCGTATGATGTAGTATGTGACTATGTGTGTGTATGTGAGTGGGTGTATTTTGGTGTGTACGTGAGTGTGTTTGAGTGTGTTATGAATGGATGTGTATTGTGTTCGCATACACATGTGTATGTGAGTGTATATATAGGTGTATTGTAAGATATGTATGAGTAGATGTATTGTGGTTGGGTGTATGTGAGTATGCGTACATGTGGAAGTGTATGTGTGTGAGTTTACTTGAATGTGTGTACGTGAGTGTATTTGAGTGTGTGTATGTATAGATGTGTGAGTGTATTGTGGGGTGTTTGTGAGTGTAGTTTGGGTGTGTGAGTATATGTATATGTGCAAGTGTATATGTGGGCTATATTGTGTGTATGTGTGTAGTTGTACTGTGTGAGTGTCTTTGAGTGTGTATGTATAGATGTATATGTGAGTGAGTGTATTGTGGAGTGTATGAGTGTATGTGTTGTATTTTGGTGTACATGAGTATGTGTCCTTGTATATGTGTGGGGTGTATTGTGTGAGTGTGTATGTGTGTGAACATGTCTATATGTGTGAATGTGTATGTGTGTATCTGTGTTTGTGTGGACGTGTATATAAGCATGTGTGTGTGCATGTATGTGAATGTGTCCTATATGTGTGTATGTATTTATATGTATGTGTGAGTGTGTATATGTGTGGATGTGTCTATCCGTATAAGCGTGTCTGTGTTTAAGTGTGCCTATATGTGACTGCATGTGTTATATGGGTGTGTGCCTGCGTTTTTAAGAGTGTCTATAGGTGATTGTGCATGTGTTCTGTGTGTGAGCGTGTCTCTGTGTGGGTGCATGTCTCTATGTGTGTGTATGTTTGTGTGTGAGCATATCTGTGAGCATGTGTATAAGCGTGTCTGTGAAGTATGCGTGTGTTATGTGTGTGTGTCTGTGTGAGCATGTGTATAAGCATGTCTGAGTGTATGTTTGTGTGCAAGTGTGTCTATATATCTGTTATGTGTGTGAACATGTGTGTGAGCGTTTCTCTCTGTATGAGTGTATGTATGTGAGGGTGTCTGTGAGTTTGCATGTGTTATTGTTATTGTGTGAGTGTCTGTGTGTGTCAGTGAACAAGAGTGTGTGTGTGCATGTGTGTGTGTCTGTGTGTGTCTGTGTATGTGTGTGCGTGTGTGTGAGTGTCTGTGAGTGTAGTTTGTGAGCATGTCTGTGTGCTTATGTGTGTGTCTGTGTGTGCATGTGAGTGAGCATGTTTCTGTGTGAGCATGTCAGTGTGAGTGTGCATGTGTGCATGCATCCGTGTGTGTGTCTGTATGTGTGAGTGTAGTGTGTGAGCATGTCTGTGTGAAGTTGTGTGTGTTGCGTGTGTCTCCACGTGTGCGTGCGCGCGTGTGTCCATGTGAGGGTGCGTGTAAGCATGTCTGCGCGTGTGTTTGTGTGCAAGTGTGTCTGTGTGAGTGTGCACGTGCTATGTGTGTGTACGCGTGAGCGTGGCTCCGTGCACACGTGTCTGTGTGAGCGTGTGGCTATGTGTGAGTGTAGTGTGTGCATGAGTGCGCGTGTACATTCGCGCGCGTCCACGTGCGCGCGTGTGTGCGTGTGTGCACGTGTCGGTGCGCACGCATGTCCGTGCGAGCCTGTGTGTGTGTTCGTGTGCCCGCGTGCACGGGTGCGCCCGTGTGTGCGCGCGTGTCCGTGCGCGCGTGTGCGCATGTGCGCCCCGCCCGCGCGGCAGGGAAGGGGTTAAGCGGGCCGGGGCGCGGAGCTCAGAGCCGCGGCCGCCCAGCCCGGGACGGTCGCAGGGCGGCGGCGGGGCCGAGCGCGGGACAGGCCGGCACAGCGGGGCCCTGGGGGGCCATGGCGCCCCCCGGCCCCGCCGCCCGCGCGCTGCGCCTGGGAGCCCGCGGAGCGGCCGCCGGCCGGGAGGTAGGTCGGGCCGCGCGCTCGGGGGCCGCGGAGCGGGGGTCGCGCCCGGGCGCTCGGGGCGGCGGGGAGGGTCGCGGTGCCCGAGGGAGGAGGCGCCGGGCGCGGGGCCCGACCCGGACCCGGACCCGGATTCCGAGCGCGCCCGCGGGACCGAACCGACGGCGTCGTCGGGGGTTCGGCGCGGCTGCAGCTCAACCCGCGCGTGGGGGTGGGGGGAGACGGGGAAGGGGGAGAGAAAGAGAGAAAGAGAGGGAGGGGAGACGCGAGACGGGGCGGGGAGGAGGGAGCCGGACGGAGAGAGGAGGGGAAGGGGAGGGGAGGGGAGGGGAGGAGGGGGAGGGGAGAATGCGGGAGACCTCTTTCTTCTGCACTTTTCCAGAGCGGCCTGGGGGGCTCGGCCTCCCGGGGGAGGTCTCAGAACCTCGAGGTGTCTCTCCTAGTAAGTGGGTCACAGGAGTGACAGCGCCCCGGGGAGCGGACCCCGGGGTGGGAGGACGGGCGAGTGTCCCCAGAAGCCAGGGGGTCTGGCCGGGGTTGAGCCAGGAGTCCCCCATGCTCTTAAGCCAGTGGCCAGCCCTGGCCCCCGATGGAGGGGTCTGCTGTGTCTGCAGTCGTGCGGGGGGGTGGGGGTCGCAGCCCTCCAGGGGCTGGTGGCCCCCACAGCCTGGGAATCTAGCCTCGGAACTCTCAGGCCCCTCCGTGATTGTTACTGAACTCCTTTGTTGTTGTTGTTCTTTTTTGTTTTCGGGCCACACCCGGGGCTGCTTGGGGTTCCTCCTGGCTCTGCACTCAGGGTTCCCTGCTCCTGGTGCTGGGGTTGCCCCACGGGGTGCCGGGGATTGAACCCGGGTCAGCCACCTGCAAGGCAAGCAGGAGCCGTACCTCCTGCTCTCCCCCCAGCCCCGCATTCTTATCCTGTTAGGTTGCTCCAGACGGGGGAGAAAAATCCTCCTTGCCTCCTCCCCTCTCCGGCCGCGGGAAAGATGGAGGAGAAAATCTGTGGGTGGAGCGCTGAGGATGGAGCGTTGGAGAGTAGAGTATTTGAGGATGGAACACTGGGGGGTGGAGCACTGAGGAAGGAGCACTGGGAGGAGCACTGAGGACGGAGCACTTCTCAAAGAGGGTCCAGGCAGGACAGCAAACCCTGACACGAAGGTCTCCAGTCCTGTAGCCGGATTTGAGGTCTTCTCCGTCCCCGTCTGTGGCCCCTGCTCTGGGCTAGTGGCTCTCTCCCTCCGGGAACTCAGCCCTTCCTAGGGCCAGGGAGGCCAGCAGTATCCTCTGTGGGGGTGGGGGGGTCCCCTCAGAGGAGGGGGTGCCAGGCTGAGACCCGGCACCCTCCCCCCAAGACAGCACAGCAGGCAGGGAGCTGGTGTTGGTTAAAGCAGCAGCCAGCCGCTTGATCCCTGGCACTGCATCGGGTCCTAGTGCCCAGCCAGCTGAGGCGTTGTGGGAAAGGGGTGGTGGGAGAATTCCCGGTCGCGGGGTGCCCTGGCGGGGGGGGGGGGGGGGGGGGATGGAGTACGGTGGATGGAACGGGTCAGCCCGGCTCCGGCTCTGGAGGCTGGCCGTGGGTTTGGCCATCCTGGAGAGTGGCCGTGGGTGAAGGGAGACAGGATGAACAGGGGGTGGGGGTGGGCGGGGGGGGGGCACCTCTTTGGGGACAGACCCAGGACAGGAAGGACGCTTATGACCAGAAAGCTAAGCAGACGGGGCCAGGGTGACAGCACAGCGGTGTGGGCGTTGGCCTTGCTGGGTTCGACTCCAGCATCCCATAGGGTCCCCTGAGTCCGCCAGGAGCAACCTCCGAGCGTCTCCGGTGTGACTCCCCCCACCCCCAAATAAAAGAAAACTGAGTGCAAAAAAAAAAAAAAACAACCCCAAAACTCACGAGAGCCAGCCCCAGCAAACAGCGTTAGGAATGGATGTTTCGAAGGGCCTGAATGGACAGATTACTGCACTTGGACAATGAAGTCGCCTCTCCCCCACGGCCCCCCACACCCCTGTCCTGGTTTTTGATTTGGCAGCTTCGATACAAACAAACAAACAAACAAACAAAAAAATACACTGGAAGAAGCAGAGTGCTGGAAGTGGGACAGCGAGCATACGAATGAGTTTTCCGGCAGCGTGTTTCTTTCCCGGAACGGGAGTCCGGTGGGAACGGGTCATGTGGAGCCTGTGTGAAGGGGGACCCGCAGCCAACCCGGCCCGCATGGCTTGTGGCTTAGGGGGGCTGGGGGTTTCTGGGTACACGGAACCCCCTCCCCGGAAACCCTGGGATCCTGATGGGAGGGGAGCAGGGAGAGAGCCCCAGCACCCGAGGGGTTGCTTAGAGGGGCCCATTCACTCCCCTTTCGTGGGGGGGGGGTGCGCCCCAGGGGGTGGGACTCGAAACCAGAGATCCTCTGGCCGCGAGTCTGGGGGTGGGAATCTCTCCGGCTGAGGCGCCAGGAATGTGTCTGGAGGGAGCAGGGGTTTCTGGGAGGTGCTGTTGCCAGCCCGGCCCCAGCTGACCGGCCTGCACGCCTCCGATGTTAACCCCCTTTCTTGCGTATGAATGAAGTCTCAAATGGGCCCCCCCCTCCTGGCTCTGGAGGTGGGGGTTTGATCTCGCCTGGCATGCTCAGGGGCTGCTTGCTTTGTCTTCCTGTTTGAATCAACTTCCTGGGCTGTTGAGAGCAATCTGCTGTTTCAGGGTTAGTCGGTTTGGATTTGGGGCCATCCCTCCCTCTTCCCCCCTCCCCACAGGGCTCAGGGCTTCCTCCTGACTCTGTGCTCAGGGCTCACTCTTGGCAGTGCTCCGGGATCCAAACTGGGTAGGAGGCATGCAAGGCAAACCCCTTTACCCCTGGGCGCTCTGGCCCCCAATGGTTTCTGGTTTAGGTACTACAAATACGCTTCAGCCCTTGTCCGATACTGCTGTCAGAGAAGGTCCTGGAAGAGGTTCAGATCGGTTTCAGAGTCGGATGCATATTGAATGTATTTGTGCCTGGACGGCTTCCAAGGGAGATTTCTGGAGAGAGAGAGAGAGAGAGAGAGAGAGAGAGAGAGAGAGAGAGAGAGCGAGCTGGGCGGGGCAGGAGCTCTGCTTTCAGGAGGCCAGGCCCAGTGCCCAGTACCTCATCACGGCCCCCAACACCGCCAGCACCCCTGAGCACTGAGTCAGGAGGAAGCTCTCGAGCATCGCGGGGTGTGACCCAACAACAACAAAGAAACTTCCATACTGGATTTTCCAAAAACGACCGGAGATCTCACCTCGCTTGGCCCATGCAGGCTGTCCCCCGAGTCCCTTCCTCGTTGCCTCCGAGTTCCGTTTACGTCGCCGTGAGGATTGAAATCTAATTCATCGGCCTAAGTGAGGATTTGGGGTTTGGTTAAAAGCGCGGGCGAGTCTAGCCTGGCTGGCATGTTTGAGGCCCTGGGCTTGCCCTCTGTGGCATACATGGGCCCATACCCATCAAAATGAGACAACATGGTAAAATGAAAGTTTCTTGCTTTTGTCTTTAAATGTATAAATCCATTTTATTTCATTAAAAACTATGATTGAGGGCAGGAGCGATAGTCGAGCAGGAAGGGCTTTTGCCTTGCATGCTGCCAACCCGGTTTCAGCATCCCAAATGGTCCACCGAGCACCGCCAGGAGTGATTCCTGAGTGCAGAGCCAGGAGTAACCCCTGAGCATTGCCGGGTGTGACCCAAAAAGTCCAAAAACCCCACCAAAAAACCCCCTGTGATTGACAAAGTTATTGATAGTTGAGTTTTAATTTTTTTTTTCCTTTTTGGGTCACACCCGGTGACGCTCAGGGGTTCCTCCTGGCTCTGCACACAGGAATCACTCCTGGCGGTGCTTGCAGGACCATATGGGATGCTGGGAATCGAACCCGCTTCTGCCGCGTGCAAGGCAAATGCCTTCCCCACTGTGCTATTGCTCCAGCCTCCAAGAGTTGAGTTTTAGGGATATAATAATATTTCAGCACCAACCCCTCCCACCCTCCCTTCCCCTCCCCACCTATCACCTTGTCACGGGGCACAGTTCCGTGGCTGCAGCTCCCGTCTCCTGTTCTGGGTGTTGTGGAGTGTGTGTTGTGGTGGTGTGCGCTGCCACTCACCTTGGGGTTTCCTTTTTGTTTTGGGCCACACCTGGTGATGCTCAGGGCTCAGGGATGACTCCTGGTGGACCGGGGACCATATGGGCTGCGGAGTGTCAAACCTGGGTTAGCTGTGCAAGGCAGACGCCCCTCCCTGCTGTTCTCTCTCTCTCTCTCTCTCTCTCTCTCTCTCTCTCTCTCTCTCTGGGACTTCCTATCCTTCCCTTTTTTGTTTTATATCCTTCCTTTTTTTGTTTTACAGACTCTCCTCCAATACGTTGTTTCAGTTTTGTCTCATGCGGTGGGTTTTCTGCCCCCATGGGATCCCAACAGCCCGGGAGCCCGAGACCCACCATCCCCCATGCACCATGCGGCTGAAACTTGGTCGGGGGGACAATCACTACCAAGGGCCAGCCATTTTTTGAACTATTTATTTATTTTGCTTTTTTGGGGGGTCACACCCAGCATTGCACAGGGGTTACTCCTGGCTCTGCACTCAGGAATTACTCCTGGCAGTGCTTGAGGGACCCAATGGGATGCTGAGAATCGAACTCGGGTCGGCCGCGTGCAAGGCAAATGCCCTACCCACTGTGCTATCACTACAGCCCCGAACTTTTTATTTTTTTCCCCCAAGTGCCACCCTCTTTCTCGGAAGGGAGGACGTGCAGAGGGAGGGTCTGGGCCCTGGGCCGTGCAGCCCCTCATGGAATCTGGCTTGCCTGGCAGCTGTCCCTGTCTCCCGAACCAGCACCCTGTGGCTCCCCCCCCCCCCCCCCCCCGCATCTGCTAATCCCCTCCCTGGAGAGAACTTGAGTGATTGATTGATTGGTTTGTGGACTCATCTGGCGGTGCTCAGGGATCACACCTGGTGGGGCTCTGGGGACCACACACGGGGTGCTGGGAATCGAGCCAG